TATAATTAAATATGATTGGAAAACTTGCAAAACCAGGCGATTAACACTTCTAAAAAATACAAGCTGCTACGTTTAACACCTGCACAGTTATACTATAACTACTATAGCTTGTATATAACTCATCAGGTTTATCTGAACCTACAACTTGTTTAGGAGCTAGCTGAGGCGCTTTCGGGGGGATTAAGAGACTTTGAATTTGGCTGAGTTTGTGCTAGCTTCAGAATGGTTGTGATGTGAATAAAAGTCATAAATTATTATTGTCCTCCTTAGTTTCTAAAGAAGTTAGTTTGGTTTTAGGCTTAGTATGTGCATCCTTTTAGGGTGTTTAGCATGTTGGTAATAAAGCTGCATTTGGTAGACCAACAATTCAAAACAACTGGACCTTCTATCCAAATTTATGACCAGACAAGATTTAAACTTGCTTATCTCATTCAACTACTCTCTCATCCTAGCTAGAGTATCTAGACTGGACTAGAGGATATCTTACATTGTCTGCTGATGATAGAGTAGTAATTCTCTCCTCCACCAGTAGAAGGTGGGACTATGGATGGTCCCCAGAGTGGCACAGACAGCTTTAACATCAGAAAAAAGATTAGTCTTCATAGAGTCCCTGAGGCTGCCCACAATAAAACCCCCCTGCGAGTGTAGTTGTGCATCAGAGTGCCATTTTAGTTCCCCTGATGATTGTTTGCAGGAAAGAGTGATATCTGCAGTAATGGTCTGTGAGGTAAGAAGCTGTTACCTGGCTTTGTTAACCTTAGTGTTTAGGGTGCTCAGCTTTATTGTTGATGAACTACATTTCCTGAGGCTTGCATAACACAGTGTAGCTGTAAAAAACTGCCTTACACTCGATTATAACTTAATTTTAAAAAGCCAGTGGAAAGGTTTTGCACCAACAAATAACTGTGTATCTTGGCCCCTTTATAACACTGTCACAGGGGTAGTGACAGTTTCAATGTTTGTCACTGACTGGCTGAAAAATCAAAATTAAAATTCTTATGGAATATTCCCTGTGACTATTTTGAGATATATATATATTCCTCACCTCTAAGAAGAGCATTTAAAAGGCATCACGTAATGAGTTCTTATGCAACCTAGTTACATTAATGTTACATGTACTAATATATACATCAGTATATGTATCATATAATCAGTAATTAAAATATTGTGATATGTACAGTATTTTTTGCTGTATAGTTTTCAGGCTTAGTTTTCAACTTTTAATATTCCATATATACTCGCTTTGTGCCTCTGGAATGACTTTGGAGAGTTTCAGTCTAATAGGCAGTTTTCCAAGAGGTATTATACGGTTTAAATTTGTGTATCTTCCTTCTTTTAGCATCTTAGAATTGCAAAAATGTCCTGTTTTGTTCCCATTTTGTCTTTTACATTTTTAGGGCACATTTTGCTGAAGCTGTCATTTATTTTATTTTTCAGTCTGCAATGAGGATAAACTTTTCTTGAAAAGTTTCAGTTCAGTTTTACGATGTTTGATTGGTTTACTTAATATAGCAGAATGTGGCTTATAGGACTTTTTTCTTTTTTGACTTTCTGATGTTTGTTTTTTTAATGAAGTTTAAAGATTTTTTGTTTTACCTTTGAAGTTTTGGAAAACATTTCTCGGCTGCAGTTGAAAGCAGTCTGATGGTGTGTATTATGCTAGTTTAAGCTGACTGAAGAACCTAATTTTATTGTGCATTTCATATTCATTAATGGAATTCTAGCTACAGTATTTTATATTCCATCTGAAAATGACTTACTCATTTTTGTAATTCGGCATTGCAAAACATGTCTAGTAAGTGAACTGTGTTTCTCAATCTAGAAAGAAAATGTTTGTCAACTCTATGGGATTACAGGTGAAGATTCAAATGCGTCTGCCTAGAGGTGAAGTCAGAGCATGTATGGGTGAAACCTGGGGTGTTTTCAAATGTTTTCAATGCTTTCATCTTGATGCAAAGAACAGTTTCATGCTGTAGAGTTTAATTTTGGTTCTAAGCTGTAAACTGCTAAGCGATAAAAACACCTTGTTTATCAGCAGTCAAACTATACTGGTTAGACCTTGTGGTGTTTGCATCTTTAACAAAGTAGTGGCTGATTTTATTTACTGTGCAACTGTACACATACTGTATCATATGCATATTGCTGGATATCCGTTTAACCTTACGTGTGGTAAGGTTTCAGCAGAGCTTTGCACTTTAATATGTTAAACTTATACATGTAATTGTAAAAACAAATTGAAAAGTTAAATTCACCATTGAAAGAGTCTTCTGATTTCACTGTTCTGATTGTTTTTCTAAAGTTTTTATTTTAAACGTGCATCTTGACCATAAAACACAAACTGCTTTTCTACAGCTGACATTCTGCAGAATGTGTTGAGAATTATTATGGTGCCAGTGATACTGTATACTAACAATGACACCACAGCCTTTCTGCATTGGTTATAATGAAGATCAGATATCGCACAAGTAATTACAGGAGTGCATGGTAGTAGCTGTGGGTGAAACTGCAGTCGCAAAGTGACTTGCTCATTAAAATCTCATGGATTTCTTTTCTGTTAAGATAGGCAGTGACTGCTTATGTAGGAGAACAGATATTTAGTACAAAGGTGAACTGAGTAGATAAAGTGTACTGTCAGCACCCTGATTTCAAAGGCTGTGAATTCTTGAAACCATTTATACAGTATATCCTGAGAAAATGAGTTTCATGAGTTGGGGGTAGGGTTCAAGAATGGAACAAACCACAAACATGAAAAACACAAAATATCTTAAATGTGTCTCAGAGACATATTGCAATAATAGAAATGTATAAGGAAAGCTTTGTCATAGTAGAATTAAACATAGTGAATGTCCCTGTTTGTTTTATTTTGAAGATAGCTTAATCAGATACAGGTGACATGTTCTTCCAAAACTGTTCTCTCGTGAGTTTACATACTTGATTTGACAAACGTTTTTTAGAGTCACATTATCTACCCATTTTTGATGTGCATAAAATATAAACTCATCTTCATATCCAATCATAATATTGCTCTTTCAATCACTCCTAAAATCTGTACTTGGCCATTGATATCTCTAACAACCTGGCTTTGTAAATTCACAATTTGTGATTGATCAGACCATCAAATAACTTCAGCTGGTTGATTAAAAACTAGCAAATTGCAAAGATGTTGTGTGAAAGGAGAACATCTGGAATGAAATTGACAGCGAGGTTAATTCTTTCCTCTGTAAATACATGTTTCAGTATCTTTATCTTAATTGGTTCATAAGACTGGTTGAGCTTTCCTTTGCATCCCAATGCTTTGACGCATTTGGTGTGAAAGCAACTTGATGCATGAACAAACATCAGCGTCCACACTTCTATGTGATGAATTTGATGTGAAAAGACCTTAACACTTGTACCAGGGAGTGTGATTTTTATTCCAGTCTTAGTCCACACATTATAAACTTTTCTCCAAACAGATTTTTCCCAGTGTGCCTTTTGGTATCTTTCATTATATATTTCTTCTATTTCTAGCCTTTCCTGATTTAATATAAAATTTAATTGATGGGGCCAATTTAGGAATAAATCACTTGTGCTGCTTTTTGGCAGTTCTTTTTGAAATATAAAGCACCAAACGGTGTGAGAGGAACTGTTTGAGTTGTTGCCTACTCAGAATCACTTGTTAAATGTTTGGTTTGTGAGAGAACACCTTTCTCTGCTTTAACAATCCTTAGAGAAAAGTCTAAAAAAATGCATTGTAATAACCAGGTAAATTTTGCCAACAGAAAATTATTCACAATTTAATTTGATTGCTTGAAACTACCTATTACGTGCCTTGTTATTCTGCAAAGCCTGCAAGTAAGACAAGTCATGGATCAGGGAGAGAGCTGCTAGCTGGAGGAATAACAAATTAATTGACAAACAGTAGACTGTTGCACTGCAACATGGATAAGATCACATTCCCTTTTCTGAGACATAACATTTGACAGAACAGTTACCTATGGCAAATCTTAGAAAGATTCTGATTTAGCATTTCTGTGTAGCATACTTTGCATATGAACAAATCTGGTATTGTCTTGATGTTGTTGTATCCTGTTATTGCTTTCAATTATTAATTATTTTACAGTAGAGTCTCGATTATCCAACCTAAACAGGATGCAAAAATAGTATGTTGGATAATCGTGAATGTCGGATAATGCAGAAACTGAGTAGAAAAATCATAGATTAATGGAAGTACAGTATAAGTATGATATCTGGTTTATTAATCTACTGTAATACTAAAATAATAGAGTATAGAACTATTGTTATTATTTTAAAAAAATGAGTGATTGGAATACATTCGCCCCGTATGTGCGTCTCTTCCTTGCGGCACGGTCTCGCCAGCATCTTAGTAACCTGACATCAGTAGCAGTTGCCTCCTCTTGTTGTTCAACGTAAACTAGTGCCGCTTCGAGAGCCTTGACCCCTTCACTGTGACTGATTCTGATTGAAAGAACTACTTTCTTTCACTCACGCATACAGTATATAGCATGTTGAGTGGCTATGTCGGATAACATGGAATGTCGGATAATTGGAGTAGTCGTGGCCCAAGTGGTTAAAGTGATGGACTAGAAATCCATTGGGGTCTCCTCACGCAGGTTAGTATCCTGCCAACTGTGGCATATGTTTCTGGCAGTGCAGTGGCTCTGTGGCTACGGATCTGCGCCTGTGGCTGGAAGGTTGCCGGTTTGTATCCCGCGGCTGGCAGAGGAATCCTACTCCGTTGGGCCCCTGAGCAAGGCCCTTAACCCCAACTCCAGTTGCGCCGTATAAATGGCTGACCCTGCGCTCTGACCCCAAGCTTCTCTCCCTGTCTGTGTATCTCATGGAGAGCAAGTTGGGGTATGTGAAAAGACAAATTCCTAATACAAGAAATTGTATATCGCCAATAAAGTGATGTTATCTTGAAGGTTGGATAATCGAGACTCTACTGTATTTTGGTTTAAGTCTTTCCTGTTGTGCTTCATATCTGTTTTGTTTTTCAGATGGCTGCCCTGCAGAGCCCTTTTTACGGAGACAAGATGAATCTCTACTCTCTCTGCAAAAAGATTGAACAGTGCGATTATCCACCCCTCCCTTCCGATCACTACTCAGAAGAGGTACCATCTTTTCTTACTTGAAGGCCACAAGTTGAGAAGTCTCCAGACTTCTATAAGTTGAAGTCAAACAAAACGAGCCTGTACCATCTTCTGAAGCACTTGTAAACATTATGAATTTATCATTCTTTAAAATTGAAATTGTAAACCAGGTATTGTTTGAAACAAATTGTATTTTCAGGTATTAATGGCCAATTAGGATAAACTAGCCCGTATCTCAAGTGCTATGAATTTTTGAGTTTGTACAGTGTGCTAAGTACCTCCAAGAGATAGTTTTATATATCAAGCTAATTTAGAAGACTTACAAAGTATTGTCAGCAGAATGGGTGGATTTTGCCGGGGTCCTTGACCCTCAGTGTTTCAAAATAGCATTTGGTAAGAAAGGATACAAACGAGAGGATACCGTTTGATCTACATTGTTTTTTTGGCTGTTGATAGCTTAGAGATTTGAGGATGTTATCAAGCTTTTTCTTGAAAGAAGCCAATGAATCTGCTTCTACAACTAGCCTGGTAGCTTTTTGTCTCTCTCAATCCTTTGTGTACAGACTGCAGTTACTTTTTCAAGTGCATTTCCCTGTAGTTTTCACTTTTTTCCTAGTTCTTGATTTTGAAGAAGTCCATTGGGTTGACCTTTTCAGGTACATCTGAAGATCTTGAATAATTGAATCCTAATCTCATAGAGTTCTATGTTCAGTTCTCAAGATCTGTTCTTTTATTATTTTAGTATATGAACTGTATATATGTAACTGGTTGTTTTTCAGTGACTGATTCCAGAGCAGCAATCAATTTCCATAATGTGGTAACCAAAACTGTGCATGGTATTCTAAATAAGGAGTTATTTATGCATTGTACAAATTTTAACATAATCCCTTGATTACAATTCTATACTTTTAACTATTTTAGCTAGTATTTTTTACTTTTTAATTGCTTTCCCACATTGTGTGTAGAATATTTTAAATAAACACCTGAATCCTTTTCATAAGTTACTTATTCAAGCTCAGTTTCCCATCTTGCATATTTAGTTTTTTTACTACCTGCATTCTAAGTCTCCATTAAATGTCATCTGCCAGATGTTTTCCTAGTTATCCACATGAATAAAAAGATCGAATTTCTTTTGCAGCTTCTGCAGTGTTTGTAATGATGATATCATCTGTGATTTTGACTAGTTTCATAACTATAGCAGAATCAAAATCTCTGATAGAAATTAGAAAGTATTGCAGATCCCTGTGGTACTCGCTTCACCCAAATTTGCATTCACCACCCATTTGTAATCTGATTTCTATCCATTAAAGAGTTCTCAGTACACATTCGTGCATTACCCTGAATGTCTACTGCCTGCAAATTAAGTTAGTCTTTGATGGGGAACTTAATCAGAAGCCTTCTAAATATCTAAATACTGTATTATATGCTGTGTTTGTATCTTTGGTTGTTTAAAGAACTCCAGGCGTGACCTACCTTTTCTAAATTAATGTGGATTATTCCCTTAAATCTTTTATTAATGTTATTTTTTCCACATTAGAACACCTGGGTAGCTTGAACTTGAAAATCGAATAGAAAAAATTGAATCAGCCACTTAATTTTATCATTTAGTTTCTCATGGCCTCTGAGAGACCATACTACTTTTGCTGTTGTAGTATTGGGGAAAAAAACATATATTCCAGGCACCATTGCAATGTGCTCTATCTCTGTCCTGGCAAGTGATTATTTCTCAATTTGACGTTTTTAAATTCTTCACAGAACCACACTGTTTAGTGTTATTATTATTCAAATAAAACACTTTTTTTTTTTAGTATTCAATCCGATGTTTCCATACATTGCATGTTATCATACATCCTTTTCATAGTGTGCATTTGAGATGCTCGAAGTCACATTTGGGTCAGTTTGTCTCTTAATGTCTGAATTTTTCTTATTCTCTACAGCTGTGTGCCCCTCTGCCTTCAAAACAGATGTAGACAAACAGAGTTTAAAGATAATTTTAATGTATTAGCTTGTCAGAAAACATTCTTTAACAACTCCCACTAAAGTATTTACTAGATCTGTATGCATTCTGAATTGACTTTGCCTACCACAAATACATTCACACACATATGGCAAAGGTTAAGATCTGTAACTTTCTGGGCAATTCTTTCTATTTTAATCCATTGAGGGCAGATAATGAATCTGATTCAATAGCCATAGCAATGTCAACGAACATGTACTGACAATAAAATGATTCTTAAAGACATTTAAGACATTCTTAAAGTATGCTTTGTGTGGCTTTTATGTTTACCACACACAATGTTTTTGTGGATTAGTTACTCCACCTGTAGGAATAAAAATAAAACAGGCCTGTAGTTTAATCTTGAAACGGGTTTTAAAATTTGAGAGTTAAATGTTTGTGTGCAATAGTTCAGAAATATTGTAAATATATAGTTCCTGTAAAAAATGACCTGGGTAACAAAAAAAAAATGGTACACTGAAATAGTTTTCTGTAGAGCCAAAGGGAAACGATTCAATTTATTTGCTGTGCCATGTACTGGCCATTGTTAACTTCAGCTTTCTTCTTCTGTGCCAGACGAGGTTTTCTGTGGATCGCTTCCATTGCAGGGGCCTGCAAGTACTGTCGGGGTGTAAACAATGATTCAGAAAGATGGCAAAAAAAAATGTCAGTTGCCGTTCTTTGTTGTGTCATTTACACATCTCCCCCTCCCTCACACTTTTTTCTCTGCCATGAAGCACATGAATATTTCACATATCTGCATCTTCATCCCCTATTCTTCTTGACTAATTTTCAGACTGTCTGAATTTGCATTTCACATGCTAGCTGATTAGGAGATGCCGAGTGCAGCAGAGAAGCCTCAGCAGGCGGTTGCCATGGTGACCTTGCGCAGGATTTTAATGATGATGCCACTAGTAGTTCGTTGAAGTCAGCCTGCCTGCAGGCTTGCACCACTCAGATTCCTGCTGCATTTAAGTGTGAATTTTGGGGGCTGTGGGGAAACGGGAAGATGGGGTGGATGCAGAGAGAGAGAGAGCCAGGTGCAGATCTGCTTGTCTATGGGGCAGATCAGGAGTTACAAGTCAGATTTACGGCCCACAATTTTGTAAAGTTAGTGAATCTCACTCCTAACTTGACTTTTTTACGCACCAGCTCAAAAATGAAACAGTAAATGTGGATGTTTTGTATTGTCAATGCGACAATGTGCTGTTTAAATTCTGAAACAGGCGAAAATAAATGTTTTTGTAACCTGGTTAAAAAAAACGTTATAACCTTTTTATGCATGTGTGTGTCTGGTGAACTTGTGGATCTCTAGTAAAAAAATATTCACTTGCCTCATTTTGTCTTTTTTTTTTTGTCTTTCAGCTGAGAAAGTTAGTAGATATGTGTATCAACCCCGATCCGGAGAAGCGACCTGATATAACCTACGTGTACGACATAGCAAAACGGATGCAGGCAATTACACTTGGCAGCTAAGTCATTCATCAAGAATGAAGAAAAAAGCAGAAAAGTTGATATTTTTCCGCATCCGATCTACTCCCCAAAGCGAGAACTGATGGAGACGTACCAAGTCCTTCAAATATATTTTATCTCATTTCCATTGAGTACAACATTACTTTAATGAAGGCTGTAGAGGATAAGCAACCGGTGTTGTTCTTAGGCAGTTTTTCCTTTCAACCATTCAGACATTACTTAAATCGATCATAAGATCATTGAGAATAAACATTCATTAGAGTTTGAATACCACACTTTTAATTTTCATAACCAGATTACTATACAGCCTGCATGTATTGACTTACTCATGTAAAGGATCTTAAATTCCTGTGCAGGTATGGAAAAGCTTTTTTATGTCTATTTATTGCTGAGTTTTTTTTTTTGTTCGTTTGACATGTCGAAATCATCAGTTTTATTTAAATACCCTAATGAGAAATGCAAAGTCTAACTACCTTAGAGAAATCTGCAATAGCTGTGATTTAGTATTACACTGTCTACTTTATAAAAAATAAATCTGGATCCTGATGTGGTGTGAAGCTACTTTTATCTGGTACTGCATTAATTCAGTGGCGATGTTCTGCCAGTTAATATTTTTTAAAACATGTTTTTCATTGGATCTTTGATCTGACCTGCTATCGATGAAGTCATCTGTACATGATAGATGTAAAATATTAAGAAAAGCAACAGATTCCTAATTTGGCTTTGTTTATGGACTTGTTTTAGGCATGAATTACAAACCTGAAATGCATCCAGCCTGGAATTAAAACATTTGCCAAGAGTGAAGTAATTAATTTAATTAAGTAGATCACCTATTCTGATGTTGCTGTTGTCTTGATCATTTTACATTGTTTTCCCATAGGCCTTTCTGTATTTTGAGCATATATAATTAATGATGAGTAAATAAAGAAATGCAAAATAAAAAAACCTTAAAAGCATAGATTTTTTTTACTCCAATAATTGATACAGTCTTGTTTTAAAGGCATATGGGCCTTTAGTTCCTTTGGTGCCTTACAGTTATACCCTAAAAAGGGTAATTGTATAACATCATGATTTTACCTCCATGATTGTGTTTCTTAGTCTAAACTATTCATTGTTGCTAATTTTGTAATTTTGCCTATAGTGAAACTTGTTTTGTGTTACAAACTCCTGTAACTTAGTGTATGATTAGACAAACCTTAACATTTTCACCCTAAATTATTAAATAAAAGAGATTTACTTTTGCTACAGGTTTCTGATCCCTGAGGTTATAGCCCTGTTAAAAAAGATGCTAGCTATCTATAAGCCTCTCACCTACTCAGTATTCAATTCCTTACAAAAGTCTGTACAACACATTAGCCCTAGGTACATCTGTTTAACATTAAAATTCTAGAGGGCTCTCCTGTATGATTGTTTATAGTCATATGATAATTTTTGCTAACAGTTACTTTCTCTTTGTTTTTGAATCCATAGCAAGGCTATACTTGCTACAGACACAACGCTGGTGTTTTAAAATAAGAAAAACTGGTCTAGATGTACAGTAGGTGCTGCAATAAGTCTTCCATCAGAAAACCTTAAATTAATGTACGATTGGGGATTTTAGAAACATCTGAAAGAACATTATCACAGCTCATTAAATTACCAGCAGCTGTAAAATGACTGATTACAAATTTAAATTAATAATGTCCCCTTCGATACTAATTAACTACGTAGAGATTGCTTTTCAAAAACATCCTATAATATTGTATTGGTTCTGCATCTTACACTGAATAATCTTATAGAATATCCAAATTTTTTAGGGTTATTAAGCCTTAAAGATGTAGGCAGATACTACTACTTCCATTAGACTACAGCAGACTTCATTATATATTCAGTTCTTTAGTGTTTAGCACCTCCCATTTGTTAATGACTTTTAAATTCACTGCAGAAGAATGAAAAAATCCAGTCTTACATCTTCTAACAAAAAACAAGAAAGTAATGTAACATTTGATAGTCTTTTCTGAAGTTCATATCATATTGTGATTGCTTTTTACGTTTATCACAGATCATTTATCTAAATTGGGTATAACAAAAAAGTAGTTTATCTGTCATTCAGATTCCTTTTAAAATTACAATATTAACTACATTGGATTACATTTTTTAGGAAATTAAACTTGAAAGTAATATTAGATTTAAAAAAGGCTCCAAGAAACACTAATATTTCAATGTACTTCAATGTATTTTTTAACCTTCTTCGTGGTTCTCCATCTGCATAATGGCAATTTTGCAATTATGCAATTTTTTATCCTCACTCCAAATTCCCAGGTTTTGTAACTGAAATTGAACACATGCATGCTTATGTGAGTTTGTTCCATGAGATGTAATTCACAGGTTTAGTGTCATGTAAAAAGATGCATAATAATAATGCAGATCACTTTTGTAGGAACTAAAGGTAGTTCTGCATTACAGATGTTCCAACACTCAGTACAGTAACAAGCCTTTGCACAGTTGGTTGGTAATAGGTATGAATAAAATAAAAATGAGCATTAGAAAACTAACTATTTAGATCAGCGTAACATTAGCATCTTCACATGTAACTTATTTAGTACTGTTTCTCTGCTAATATTTCCACGTGTAGTCTCAATGAGCATAGCTCGTTATATTAATTTACATTCTAGGGCAAAGAATAGAAGGAAAGTAGGAATTATTAACATTGGAGTTAAATATCGGACTACCTTTTATGTGGTTGATATTGCTCTCAACAGCAATCCATTAGCAAATTTACATTAGTCTTCATTTATTACTGGACAATACCGGTAGGTACTTTTCCTTTTTTTAATTGTTGCCTCTTAAAATGACACATTTTCTATTTATTATAGCTTTTGTGGTTCTTAAAAAAAAATGAGATGCCTGATTCATGTTATTGTATCTGGTACATCCCCATCCGAAGACATTCTGGCGTGTTGCCTTACTTTTGTAGCTGATACTGTATTGTCAGAACATGTATTAGACAGTTGTGGGTTCTAATACTAGACTTATAGGCATCCCTGGGGTTAAAATGCTTATAAGTAGCCCTTTTATAAAACATTAAGTACTTGCATTCTAGCTAATATTTTGCTGATCAGATACTGCAAAGCACCATTGTCTGCAAATTGTAGGTGTTGCTGTGATTATACCACATGTATCTTGGTATTTATTTTAACAACAACAATAGGTAAAAATGTTATAAATGTATTAAAATGTTTATTATTCTAATTGAATGTATTATGTTGTAACCAATGCATTTTTTTCTGTTTTATTCTTGTTTTGGTAGTACTGTAACAGTGTTGATTCCTGTTAACCTGTTGCCTTGAAAAGTAATGTATTTTTGTTATGCTTAAATATAGACACTGAAACAAGTTATGTTAGTTTCATGTGCTGTTGTTATAAGTATATACATTTTCCAAAAGCAACACCTTAAAAAAAAACTCAAAATTCCATGAAGTTGACAGTGGAACCAAGGTACACATTTTCACATACAGTACGTGAATTTTCCTGTGCATTTTACTGCACACATGTATGTGTTTTGTTTAGTTACGAAAACAGAAAACAGTGACACCAAAGAACGTTATTTGGAAACTTAAACCTAGTTTTTAGTTTAAGTTTCAGTGCTTTTTGTCTCAAAACCATTGTAGTTCCATTTTATTTTAGTTTCCTTTGTATTGCAAAATTGGTTTCATAATTAAACATGTCAAGATTAGTTGACATATACTGTATAATGACAGTATAGAAATAAAATCTTTCAATTGCTCTTGATTGCTTTCAGAGTTCTTTTATTAGGAAACTGCCTTTGTTTCTGAGGTTAAAAGTGTGCGTCTTTACATTTAAAGAATTGTGATCTGTAAATGCAGAAATTTATATATATGATCACGTGGACAAGCATATATATATATGTAATCCTTGTAATATGGTTCTAATCTTATAGTAAGGAAGTAATGTAAAGCACCGTTTCCAATGTGTTTTTAAACAATACATCACATTTTTTTACTTATGTTATTGCATAATCATTTTGTTTTTGCCTTATTTGATCAAATGAAAAATTGATGATTATCATATTGTGGGCAAGTTGTTTTACAGTAAGTCCATAGGAATTTTTAAGATTAAGTTTAGAATAGCTCCAGTAAGACCTTCTTCAAATGCTAGTCATTGTTGTACTTCAGAAGTGGAATTTTAACATTATGAATGTAAACCTTGTCATGTTTTTTTTTTTTAATCGAAGCAGGTCTGAATTGTTGTTAAAGCCCCTCCAACTTTTTTCATGTAGACATAGAGAAACAGTATTTTGTTTTTTTTTAAATAATTTCTGAAACTATCTGAAACTATCGTTTCTTTTCGTACTATAATATTCCACCTTGTGTGTCAATAGGTATGTTTAGACAGTTCATATTTTTCATTTGTTTATACTCTTCTAGTATTACAATAAAGAACAAACCCTGAACCGAATGAAACTACTTAAAATTAAATTTGACAAGTAAATTGTTCATTTCTGATTCTGAAACATATTTTGCAGATACACAAGTCCATCTAGTGGCAGTGTCATTGTACTACATTCACTTTGCCTAAAAACAGCAGGAAAGAGGCACATCTTCCAAACCATAAAAGACTGCATGTGTAATAGAATTTTAAAAAATCAAGTCTTTTCAATTGGACCAGTTCAGCTGTATGTTCTCTATTATTAACAGGAATTTCTTGTAGCATTTTCATGTAATTAAAATAGTCATTTTCTTAAAGTAAATAGTATACGTGTATAGCAGAAAAGGTGCTATTTATAGTTCTGCATTGTGGCGAGCTTTTTATACAATCAAAGAAAATGGAAAATGTTTTCCAGTATGGGGAACAAGGTAACAAAATAATCCCGTTACATTTCTTTGGAGTAAAATCTGAAAGGTTTGCTGCAGGGATTTGTAGCAAAAATCTAGTTGCCAAAAACTGTCTAAAAACATTTGATTCAAGACTTAATTTATTTAATAAAGGAAAGAAATAAAAGTAAAAAAATAGCAAGGGAATCTTTTCCTAAGAAAAATTCTCAAATATTCTTGTCATGAGCCTCAAGTCCAAAGAAGAGGCAAAGCTTGTTGAAATGTGTTTGCTGCTCCAGGGATCCTCTGTTAAAAATGTAATGGGCACAGTCTTTTAGGGGAAAGCAATATCCTTACTGAAATGTAGTCCTTTCAATAAACAAAAAACTTAATTGTATAATATAAAAGGCTATGAAGTTTGAAGAATGTATGGCAGTCATTTTCAAAGATATTCAAAACATCAGAAGAGATTGCAGTGCAGATTTGCTAGTTACTGTAGAATTTGTTTTGTCTTTTTGTTGTGGATGTTCAGAAGCATATTGCTGGAGCTACAGTGTTTCATGGAGTATGTGAGCTGAGCTTATGAAAAGATAAAGATCTTTGTATTCTTCTTCACACACCTTTTTTTTCCCCCCAGTAGTAAAAACAATACATTTCTTTGTCTATTTAGGATGCTGGTCTGTTGAAACATTACATATCAATAACACGCTCATGTTACAATACATTGTGGAACATGTTTGGTAATCAAAGAGCGATTTGAAAAACAAATGTCTATGATTAAATAGCCAGCGTTTATCTCCCCTTATTTATAACTTCACAGATCCTTTACAGCATTTGAATTGAACTCTTCCATTATATTATCATGATGTATAAACAAAGCCAGTTTATTACTTGAGATTGACCTTCTGTTCTCTTTGGAAAGAGACACGCGCCGGGCAGGGCAGAGATTTTAATGGGTTCTTGTACTTGCATACCTGGATCTGAGTAGGTTTCCGTTATTTTCAAACAAGGGAAGGCTATATCCTGTGTGGGTGAAAGAGCAAGAGTAGAAAGAGGAAGGGGTGCTGTGCTTTGTACTCTTTATTTCTAGTTATAGTTATTAACTATGTATTGTTCCAGTTGCAATAAAGCTCTGTTATGGAACCCAGCATCGTACGAGATTTGCTCACCTCAGTCGGTATATGCCTTGCAGTGCTGTTCAGCCAAACATCAAAGTCCTTTTGCTTCTGGCATTTACAAGCATCACTGACCCAGATCTTTGATATCTGTTTGCCAACACTATTTATTTTGATGACAATTAGATGATCTGTGGCTCATCGAGATCTTAAAAGTTTTTACTAATGCATCATAAGTGATGGTTACTCAGGCCTTTGTGTCTCAAAAGTGATAAACTAATATTGTCTGCTGTCTCTCTACACAGCACCAGCTCTAGAGTCAATGTGGGATTTCTGGTGAACTGGAAAAAAAAAGAACGACAATATTAGTTCTAGCACGAGCTGTACACTGTGCAGTATGATGTCTAGTTTGGTTCTTGTGTTAAAACACATGCTTGAACTTTGTCTACACGCTTTTCACTAAATCTGCTATTAAAAGCAAATGCCATGTTAAATTTCAAAAGAAACTCGATCTACAGTGTGGCTTTACTAGTAGCATTCACATTGACATGGTATTTGCCTCTACAGCTGTTTTCACTTCATGGTTGAGTTTATGAATGCCACATCTCATCCTGTTGACCAGACTAAAGTCCCAATAAAAAAATAATCAAGTATTTTGTCCATTCTTTTAAAAGTTTTGTTTTTAATGTGGTTATGTAGATATGTTTTCCTTTGTGGGGTTAAAAGTACCTGGACTGTTGCCCCTGGGTGTCGGAGAAGTTTAGGAAGTGGAACATCAGGCACCGAACACCCACAGCTTAACGACTGGATTCAATATGATGTGATCAGTTTTCTTCAGGTATTTTTTCCATCATCTAGCATCATTTCTCCTCAAGTGCATCGAACATTGCCAAGAAAAACATTGTTATTCCGGACAGTTGTCACTGCTCGTCATATCCTAGGGAAAGTGACAGGTTAGGTAAGGAAAGGAACTCACTTGATACTCATTGGCAAGATCCTTCATTCTAACATCTGTGCTCATACAGTCTTGACCACTGTTGAAAGACTCGCCAATGATTATTGGCATATACTGTAGATGGGCTTCTTCAGAGCAAAAAAGTTTCCATGTGTCACTGGGAATGAAAGTGATTTGCAATACCCCTTATTTGTTTCTTTCATTCTTAGTGTTAAATAAAGGTACTCAGTTTTGTGAGCATCATGGACTGAAAAAAAAAAGTCCAGAGACTCTTGGGAAGGTGATGAGTCAGCACCAATTTTGCAGTTACAATTACTATGAGTCTGAGGTATGCAAAAATCTACTATACACTAAAGGGCAATGCACTTTTTGAATATTGCTTGGAGAAGCACATTCGGGTGTTCCAAGCGATATTTTCTCATATTTATAAAAAAATTCAGTCACCTCATAAACTTCTAGTTTCATTGGAAATCATGGCAGAAATAATTTGACTAGAACTATAGAGGAGATGCTTTTGCTCATTGTGATCTTAGATGCCATTAAAACAAGTGCTGTGGACACGGTCAGTTTCTCAGTGCAAGCCTCACTGAATGCATCTCTTCTGCCATTTAAAATTAAAGTCCACTGAATACATTGTAAGTATCCTGGCATGCAGTTTCCAGCCCGTTAAGAAACAGGTAATTTAGTTTTAAATAGCAGTTACAAAATGAAAATGCGTTCTTTTCACTTTGCTATTTAAAGTACCTGTTTTTGAGAAGAAATGAGTGATGCACACTTCTTGATTATAAGCCATCACAAGTGAAAATGAAGTGCAAATTATGTTAGTACTACTTGTGAATATAAACAAATTTATTTGAGGGAGATAAACAATGCACCTGTTCTTTTAGTAAAGTACTTTGTTTTGTTTTTTTTCACTAGTCTTGTTGCTATAGCCTGTAGTGTTCTGAGCCAAATATATACTTAAAAGTGTGGCTAAGTCACATTTAAATGGAAGTGAAAAATCTCACAGTTTTAATATTGAAAATACATTTTTCACCTTTCAAAAGATTAGGTTGTTTCTTTTCAAGACACATTTAAGTAACTGTTTTTTTTTTCAGGATAGGCGTCAATAGAATTGATTTTAAGTCTCTCAAAAAGCCTTTTCTGTTGCTGGGATAGTTTTAACATTAGCAATACTGCCTGCGTTTACTGGAAAACTTTTAGGCATGTGCTAGCTGTATATCTTGTATTTAGCTGTTAAAAAATGAAAATGAATATAAAATAAAATTTACTGTATTTAGTCCTTTATCAAATTAGTCAACTGAGAACCAATTGTAGTTTACAGTAATGAACTGAAAGACCCATTTTTATAGCAAGACAAATTAAATAAGCTACTGTATAAGTAATTTTATGCTTAATCATTTATTAATTTAAGTATACCTGGACTTTAACATTTATTCCAGTCCTGAATATTGCTGTAACAGTAGTTGGTCTTAGTATGCCTGAAAAATAACGAAATTAATCTAAGATTAATGGAAATTGTTCATTTTAAAAAAGTTCTACATTTATAGTTTGTGACAAATCACAAATAGTCATACATACAGTATCATTCTACTCTTTACTTTATGTACTAGGTACTGTATACAAACTTATATACATGCTAGCCACAGCCAGACATGACAGAAAACAAAGATCAAATCCAGCTGTATTTTCATTATTGAACTTCTGGATTAGATGGGCCAGTCTCCAGAGTACTATGACTTGCAACAGTACAACAGTATTCATATACTAAATGTATTCATAATACAACAGAAAATATTTGGTATGAAGTCGCATGTAATCAAAGCAAATTTTATTTAAATGCAAAAATACCTTAAAGTCTGTACTCCAGTTATCATTATTTCATTACTGTTCACTTTTCCCTGTAATTACAGTTACAAAATCTGACTGGTTTCCCTTTTATGTGGCTAAAGAAACTGAAGATTATGCATATACTGTATAATAAAAAAAATAAATTTGAGAATCTAGAAAATATTCTGATACTGCACACTTTCAAGGGAGAATACTGGGGTATTGTTTTATTTAATAGGTTAAATGTTTCTCAGAGAAATGAATAAATAAAGGGATTCCGTAGTATTTTCTG